GTATTTCCAAATGGGTTAGTGATGTATAAAAGATATACACACATATGATGATAATGAAATACAAATGATGTGGAATCTTAGGGTCAAAAATTAGGGTATGACAGATGTCCCTATTTAAGGTTCTCCTATCTGGAGAGGTGAATATTGATATCTTAGTTTTGATTAGATGTGAGAGACTTAACATCACCCTTATTTAAGCATCCTAACATCATCCCAAGCATGAATACATGGTTCGTTTGTCATGAGGGTAGATAAAATGACGAATCAAGCAATATATATTGCTTCATTTTTGTTAATTTTCGAATTTTCTTGTTGTTCATTTGCTAATTTTTAATATATCATTGTGTTCGTGAGATCGAGTAGATAAATTTTCACTATTTATTTGCTTAATTCAGTGAAATTTGAGAAAGTTGTGGTGTTTTTACGTTTTTAATGGAACCATTTTCTTCCATTTTCGTTGCTACATGAATAATAGCCAAATGTGGGTTGGGGAAGATGAAGTCTCCTCACACCCCATAATTGCTCAACGCATCCCTGTGGGGTCTCCCTCATAGTGTGCCCCTCCTTTTTATTATTATTTTAAAACCTTTTTTATTACTTTATTTTTTAGATTATTTTATTGTATTTTTATACGATGCATAATTGTTAATCCAAAAAGACAATATGACCATTAAAATTAACTTTTCAAAAATACTAAAACCTTGGTCCAACACCAAGTGTTTCTTTTTCTCAAAACACATCAAACCCTTTTTCAAAAGCAAAATAATTCCCGATTCAATGTCAAGCCCCTTTTAATACCTTTGTAAGTCGATTGCTTTTAGCATCGCAGTCAACATCACATGGCTTACTCTTAGGCCTTCTTACAATGAGATCATTCTCTTGTGCACTTGCACTTATTTGTTTATGTTTGTTGATTGAGCTTGATGTAATTGTTTCATTATATTGTATCCCCATTCGACAAAATGTACTCCCATCCCTATGTGATGTAATAACTTTATCGCTTTTGTCTTGATTGTGTTTTAATGCTTTACTCAATTGTTAATCACTTCAAGCATCACATTAAACCTTTTTCAAAAAGAACTAACTATCGATTTAATGTCGAGTCATTTTATACCTTGTAAGTCGATCGTTTTTTAAGCATCACAATCAACATATGGCTTACTCTTGGGCTTTTTTAAATGAGCTTATTTTTGCACCCACCCACATAGCTTACTCTTGGGCTTCCTTACAATGAGACCCATGCATTTTAATTAATTAATTGGACGCTTATTTGAGTGTTTAATCCATTTTTTGTATTCTTTTTTGTTTGGCCTTGTGTTTATTTCTTTACCTTTCTCCCATTCAATAAAGTGTATCCCTTCTCTTAACCCTTGTAAGTCGATCGTCTTGTGCATCACCATTAACCAAATCTAAAATATTCTTGATCCATACATCAAATCATACCCAACTTGTAAGTCGATCGCTTCATGCGTCGCCATCAACCTATCCCATTTCAATCTCCAACCATTTTCATAATCATCTCGCGATAATAAAATCCTTGATCCAACGTCAAGTGGCATTTTCTCGAATAAATTTAAAAACACTTTAATATTCGATTATAATTGTGTAACACGAGCCTTAAGTAGTGGAGAAGGAGTGAGAATAGAGCTTTCCTGCCCTGACTTTGAGTATTTTGGACACGAGACGTTTGGCTTGATAGTTTGAAATATTCACCTCTACCCATAGTCTTTAGTGTAATTCGAATAAAAAACAATTTCTTTTCAAAACCCTAAAATCAACATCAACACATCCAACTTATCTTTTCTCATCCCCCGTGCGATCGAAACTAATCAAACTTAATTATTCGCCCCCATGCGGTCAAACACTTTTTTCTCAAAGAACATTATTTAGTACATTCCAATACGCATACAAACTAGTGCTTAAGCCTCTCCGAAAAGTAGATAAGCCAACGTTTAGCCCTTAGAACATGATCCAAACATTTGTTCATTAAAAAAAAACAAGCCAACTAATCGTAGTCCTCTGAACTATGGTTGTTCTGATTCCTCATTTCATTATGAGGATATGTAGGCACGAGGCCCCCAATCCTTGGCGAGCACACTAATAAAAAACCTTCATTTTCCCCTTTTGAGGTTTCCTTTCTTTTCTCTTTTTAATCTTTCTACCACTCGAAGAAAGCAAATAAACATGAGTTAACATTCAAATCACAAATAAACATGAGTTAACATTCAAATTACAAATCTAACTAAGAGGTTTCCGTTGAGTATAACAGACGTGAGGGGTGCTAATACATTCCCCTTGCGTAATCGACTTCCGAACCCGAATATGGTTGTGATGACAATTATTCTATAGATATTTTCCTATTCTTTCATTGGGATGAATAAAGTTCGGTGGCGACTCAGTTCGAACTATTTTTTCCGCGACCATCGCGAAGGATCATACTTTTTGAGGTACGGCCATCACTCCTTCTTTGAGGTTCTAACTAGACCAATCACTTCATTAAAGGCAACCACTTCATCCACCAAAAGCCTACCATTAATGAAGGCCAATTATTTTGGAGAAATAAGAGAATCTATAACCCCTATTAACCTAGATACCAAGACTTTATCCACCAACTTATACATATAAACAAGGAGATAAATAGGTCCAAATTCTCCAAGGTCCAACAAACAATCCACCTTTGGGATAAGAGCGACAAAAAATAATGTTGAAATTTTTGGAAGAACAACATTTTCAAAGAACTGATCAAACATACTATAGATCTTCACCTTTAATAAATCCCAAAACACCTTGTAAAAAGAGAAATTAAAGTTATCTAGACCCAAACTTTTACACCCGTCTAAACTTGCAACCACCTCATCTATTTCAAAGGGGACAGACCTGACAAATAGTGTATCTGCCTCCCGAGACAAAAGACAATTAACAACCCCACCAAGAAAAGTTTTATAATTTCGAACTCAAAAAACCGATTCTTAAAGTACTTGAAAACCACCCTAAAGCTTATTTTTAAAATACTACATGCAAGAAGTTAAGAAAGTACTTCGATTGAATTGTGATTCAATACACATAAAAGACTTAAAGACCTTTATTTGTTTCTATAAAAATTGTATTGCAATAATTTTATGAGGACAATACTATATGTATTGTAAATTTGATTAATAGAAAAATAATGAAAATATAACAACTCATTTTATAAACTTACTCTACAAATTGGAAATTTTGAAAAACTAGTATAAAAGATTAGTCGTAATTGTCTCAAATATAATTATATGCATGTGGGATAGATACACATAAGACATACATTCTTTTTTATTGGGATTTTTTATTGAAAATTTTTCTAATAAGACATAGCTTTAATTGATATTTAGAAAGGAGTGCTATAAATATTTAATGAATGTCCATATTCTTTAGCTTTTTTTCAATATTTTAATAGCAAAACACAAATTATATATATATATATATATATATATATATATATATATATATATATATATATATATATATATATATATATATATATATATATATAAAGGAGAAATAAAAGTTAAAAAAATATATATGAGAAACAAAGTGCGTTAGAAGTGCTAAAAAAACAACAAAAATTAGGTCTAAACAGAAAACTGGTGGGTAAAACATAGAAATGGTAAAACTCCAAAACACGGAGCATAGGCATAAGCCTAATTCCACATCAAGCTAATGATCAAAGACATTTAGTGATTAACCGACAAACTTTTCGATAAAAAAAAATTTATTTCACATTTTTTAAATTGTCCAGATTGCTAAATGTCAGATCAAGATAAGGGCTAAATACACTTGTTTAAATCCACCCAGACCTTAAAACAATTCAAACAACCTTAAAATCAAATATGGAAAAGGCTCAGACCTCACTACTTATCTAAACACTATATACCAGATCATTGAGACAACCACACATAAGACAAACAAATCGTATGTCGACTCCACATGTCCCATGAACACTCCAAACCCCGAATTAATAAAACCAGACACAATTCAGTTTGAAGCCTCAAAAGATTCTATATAGTCGACAACCTATTCTAAAATAATTACCAAGAGAAAACTATATATGACTTTATATGGCGCTCAACTCTTCTAAATCCCATCAAGGCCCCGCAACACCCTCTCTGACCTAGCTTTCCTAGTACCAATCAAAGCCAAAAGATTACCGTATGCAGATCTCGCCGAAAATCTCAATGTCAGGTTTGATTTCTAGACCCAAACATCATTTGACCTCGTTTAATCACCTCCGAGATGGTGACAAAAAATCTTAGAAAAACTTAAAAAAAATAAATAAAAAAAAAACTCGTCTCCACCTTAAACTTCAAAGTATTAATGCCCTTCTAAATAATATAATTTATGTCCTATAAGTATACTCATGTATCACATTCTAAAATATATACATTAAAAACATAATATAATTTAAAGATGGTATTCTTCTCTATTTTTCTCCTGTATATTTATTATTTAATATTTTCTCTTATTTTAACTATTTTATGTTTTTATTAGAATTACAATCACATATTGTAATTCTGTCAAACTCTATTAATACAACGAATAATCAATATTGGAATTCAGACTGAAAGTGTTATTCATATTTATTGTTACAAAGTCACAAGATAGTAGTATGTTACAAACTCCCAAGATACAATTCATTTTATTGATTTTTTATTCACAAAAAGAGTCACACAGATACATAAATAATAAACAACTAAAACATCATAAGTTCAAATTTCATAATTCATAACTAAAAGAACTCAAGCATTTGATGTCAATAAAACTAAACAACAAATGCCAATGAGCTTATAACTTATAACACTCAACTCAAGCATTAACCCTACACACATAGATAAAATTTAAAAGCACTTGGCGTATAACTTAAAACTTACACCCTTGTGATTTTCAAAGATGCAAATCTGCAAGTTATTGCATATTTAATATCACCATTTTTCATGCTCAGAATTCAAAAACTCTGATTCATGCATGTCTCAAATGTCGTCATCATCTGTCACCTTAAGTCCCAAACACCAAGGTCTTGTGATTTTGACTCCACAGTCCACTGTCCTTCTAAGAGATACACTAATCTCATCCCATATTTTCTTGCATTCTGCTCCATTTCTGTTGAATCCCATATACACCATTTTTTCACCTATCTCATCCCAAACACCATCCTCCAAATACCCTTTTTCTCTTACTTGATGTTCATAACTAGTCCTTAGTTGTATCAAACTTGAAATCTCCATTTCTGTCCATCTATGATTCTCCAAACTTTCAAAAGGGTATTCATAGTTTTTACCATTTTCATTCTTATTATTTGTTCCTTCTATCCCAATATGTTTTCTTACAACTTCTAACAATGCAGCATCTCTTGCTTCAACCCAAGCTTTTTCTTTAGCCCAAAGTTTATGTATCTCTTCATCAAACCTCATTGACTCTTTTCTCTTCCTTTCTTCTTCCTTTGATGCCATCTCTTGTTCTCTTTGTTCAACAACACTCAACATTCTCTCCATCCATGCATCTTGTGTCTCTATAATCTTCTTCATGTGAGTATCTACAATCTCCTCCACTTTACCTCTCCAACTTTTTCTCACCCTCCTATCACTTTTCTCCAACTCTAGCCCTTTCTGCTTCGACGACGACCTCATTGAGTGCGCAATAGCCGAGAGATCCTCGTCGTAGTTTTCCGACGAGGATGTCTCAAACTCAGACGAATTCGAGAAACTCATTAGGCTTTCTGATTTGTACTTGAGGTTATTGATCAAACCATGATCATCAACACCATTAACATTCTCTTGGTTGATTATGAAGCTTGGAGTTTGAGTAGCAACAAAAGCAACATGAGGGCTTTTGTCTGAAATTGAAGCGTGAGTGTTTGTATTTGATTCTCCACATATTGCTTCAAGCTGCCTAAAGAATCTGTAGTGTTTACCATCTTGTCTACTCGCCTTACCTTCCTTTGTTTTCTTGTAATACTTGTACAAATTCTCAAACTTCTCCTTGCATTTCTTTCCACTTCTTTGGTACCCAAATTCCTCAGCCATTATCCTAAACAAGTACATCACAAACCTATTATAATCAATCAATATAAATCTAAGACCATATAAAATTTTATATAAGTATTTTCAAAATTATATTATAATTGCTTCTTATTATAATTTATATATACTAAATTAGGATTAAAATAATGAAAACATTCTGATATGTTCATTAAAGATGTCAGAAACATCAAATAAGTGCATTTGAATTATCAAAATTCTAAAACATAGAGCCCTAGCTATAGGTAGCTGAACAAAAATTAGGTCAACAAAACTTGAAAAGAAAGACAGACTTTGCAGGTAGAGAAATCCTTAATTTGCACCTGGAATGAATGATTTATCATTCTCATAGAAAAAACCAGTGCAAGTATAATCACTATATAGTCAGTGAAAATTGTTAGACAAAACAAGAAATAGATCATAACAAAAAGCACATGGATCTTCAGTTATCTGAATTCTGAACCCTTAGCCTGTCGTTTTCAGTCACAAAAAAGCAATTATCCCAAAAAAAAAGCTTGTTAGTTGTTAAACACTAATATATACCTAGAAATTTCATTCCACAAGGGTGCTTTCTGATTATTCTCCTTGAACTTAGAATCAAGACGAGATCTGATTTCTAGAAGAGAAAGCGTTTCTTGTCTAGGCCATCTATTGTTACAAGAATCAAAATTACCAAGCCATTCTTTGTTATCAGCAGAATTAGTTTCTAAGCAACCAAAGAAAGCAGCAGAAGCAGTAGCATGATCCGAATTAGCGGTTGCAGGAGCAATAGTGGTGGAGCTAGTTGAAGGAATGTTGAGAGTGGAGGAGGAATAATCATAGTGGTGAGTGTGAGTGTGAGTGTGAGTGAAGGCACTACGAGGATAGAAAACGTCACCAACCATGATAGAAGAAGGGTCATAAGAATAATTATTAGGTGGATGAAAAGAAGAAGGATAGATATTATAGGGTGGTGGTGGTGGTTCTGTGGTGGTGGTTCTTGATGAAATGAGGCGGAGGAGATCCTCCGGTAAACCGTAGGGGTCAGTGTTGCTCATGGTGTTGTTTGGTTATGAGATGAGAGAGTGAGTGGGGAGAGAAGAGTGAAGAAAAAAGTGATTATTTTTTAATTTCTGGTTTGAAATGAAAGGAGACAGGATCCGAGTCTACCGCTAGACTTAAAAGTAAGACTCATTTATCTTTCTAGCTAGCTCAGTCAGACACAGAGTATTATGGAGAGAGAAAGAAAGGAAAAGACATGATTTTAAGTAGAAAGGACTCAAGTACTTTTGTAGGGAAAAAAGAATAAATAATTTTCAAATACTCCTTTCACCCTTCCTTACAAACCTAGACAAATTAGTATATTATATATATGGAATACATTTTTCTTTTTAGATATATTAAATAATTAATATATTTGATTTATAATACATTAATTATTTAATATATTTAAAAAATAAAAATTATTTATAATATGAAATAGTATATATATATATATATATATATATATATATATATATATATATATATATATATATATATATATATATATATATATATATATATATATATTACTTTTTATTTTTTAAATTAAAGAGTATTAATATAAAATTGTGTAATCAATCAATTTTATAACTTTCTTAACCAACATTTTACCTTCATTAATTTTTATTATTAAAAATTAGTATTTTTTATATTTGTATATTTATTAATCAATTTTATAATTTCATTAATTAACTTTTTTATATTAAATTAATCAATTTTGATTTACTATTAAAAATTATTTTTAATATCGGAGTGTTTATTATCAATTTCATAATCTCGTTTATCATTTTTTTTTATATTTTATTAACCAATTTTATTTTAATATTAAAAATTATTTTTAATATCTCAATGTTTATTATCAATTTCATAATTTTATTTAACAACTTTTTGCATTTATTAGTAACTTTGTTTTACTACTAAATTAATAGTCAATGTTTGTGCACTAATCTCAGACATTGTTGACGATTTTTGTTTATGTATTTTTTTACGTCATTACTTACCGTATTAACGAACTATGATTATGATATAATATATGATGTTTACCATATTAACGAACAATGATTATGGTGTAGTGTATGATGATGATGATGTAAAAATAACAATGTTGATATATAATAGTTGAGTTTGAAAAATATACATCACAAATTAAATTGAATTGTGAGATTTAGTTAAAAATGAACTCAAACATATTTGAATTAATTGCGGTATTCTGCCATTTTCGATTTATTTAATCTGATCAATAATTTTTAATTAGAACGTTTAGGTTTTAAAGATTCTTGTGAGTAAATAAGATAATTTTGGTTAAATTATTTTAAGATATCAAGTGATTGAGCAATTAGAGTTGAACATGTTTTATGATTTAATGTTATGTCCACCAATGGAAGAAAGACAAGTGGCAGAGTATCACACGATGAAATTTTATATGCCTGCATATATACTGCAACATACTAATGCATTGGTCGAGTGACGTATGTACAGTGTTTGAGGCTTAACCTTTTTTATTGCTTTACTTACTATTCACCATCAGCATCTTTGTTGATGATACTTAGCTTAGCTCTTACTTGGCTTAGAGCGTACAGAACCTGTCTTCATATTAAATGGTGTAGCTAGGTATATACATTATGCAAAATTATTTCATTATTTTATACTACTTTATAGTACTATATATCACACGTTTGTTTTTACTAATTTTATTTATTATAGTTCATGCCATAATAAGAAAAGGAGATTTATAATGTGCGTGCAGCCTTGCGCAGAATAAGGCTAAATAATAATTGCTTTTGAAAAACAAAATGCTAATTAATTAATTGGTTACATTTTTACTAGTGAATTAGAGGAGATCAAAAAAAAATTAAAAGAAAATAATATAAATATATGTTAAAAAAAGAGAGTAATATACATTATGATCCACTAATAATATTTTGTTATATATATTAGTTATTTCTGTTAGTTTTGATTGAAAAAAACGTTTAGAATATGCATCGCTAGACTTTAAATGATTTAGGTGAATATTCTGTATTTATTTTAATGGATGAGGTATAATTTATATTACACTTAATAATAATAATAATAATAATAATAATAATAATAATAATAATAATAATAATAATAATAATAATAATAATAATAATAATAATAATAATAATAATAATAATTTAGTGGTACTCACAAAATTGATCTCAATATTTTTCATGTTTCCATCAATCGAAACAAACGCAAACCCCTCTTTCTCTCCTCCTCTTTCCTTCTAACAAATATTCAATTCAACAACTTTCAGAAGAAACAACAAAGAAAAAAACTGATTATTCAGCACTATTATTGTTTCTTAGCATTTGATTCCATTTTTAACTTATGGGTATCTTCAAAAATCCAATCTTTATTCTTTTCCATTTTTTGGCTAGGTCTAACATCAGATTTCAACAAACTCCAACAATTGAAGGTCTGTGAAATGGTTATGGTTTCAACTTTCACCTTCTTTGACTTTCTTTTTGGTGTGGTTGTTGTTGTTGTTGTTGAATTTCTTGCTTTCTTGTGGATCCTTAAACGACTACGTTGCAAGATTAACAGCAATAGAGACAAAATTTTATCAATAACCCGAATTGGTAGTAATAATAGTTTACAATTTGATTATTCTCAACATTCTTTCAAAAAAAGATGTAACTTTGATTCTTCCAAAAACTTCTCTTTTTTTTGTGAAGCCCTCATTGTGTAGTATAGTAGAGTCAACTAAGATAGCAATTTTTTTAGTATTTTATTATTTGGTTATTTTGTGTGTTTCAGATTGTTCATGTCATTGATATTTGATCTCGGTCTGGCTTTGCTTTTCTTCAGGGTGTGGTTTGGGATTTAATAGTAGTGGTTTTAGTTATGTAAAACAATAATAGTAGGAAAATGGAAGATGGTAGAAGGAAGATGGAAGAAAGGGATTTAACCCTGATTTGAAGAAGAAGATGGAAGAAGTTGGAAATATAAAAAGCGATTGAAGAATGGTGGAAGAAGAATGAAGTTGCAACCAAATGGAACCCTATGTAATGTAACATATACATATGCTGATGTAGAACCTTTACTTGGCATGTGTCGCATTGCTGCGAAAAAGGGCCGGTGAAGACAGAAGAGTCACCATCGTTCGTTGTTTATCCCAAAGAGAGGGAAAAGAAAAGATCAGAGAAAACCTACGAAAAAGGGAAAAGACAGGTCATCGCAACCAAATTTGGGTTTGGGAGTCGGTTACGCAAGGGGAAGGTATGAGCACCCATCACGTCCGTTGTACTCAATGAGATCCACGCTTGTTGTCTATCTAAAAGGGTGTTAAACTATCAAAGGGCTGGATCACAAGGACAAAAGAAAATAAAAGAGACTCGATAGAGCATCGCCGCCCTATGCTTACGTATTCCCCCGTGCAATGGGAAAGTCAGAGTCAACGTAGTTCGAGAAACTACAGGTGAAAGGGGGAATGTTGCTCGCCAAGACATCGTTGTCTTGTGCCTATGTATACTCATCTGGTATGAGAAATCAGAGCAAACGTAGTTCGGACTGACACGATTAAGTGTTTTAACTGAGTATGGTTAAACCTTCGTTCTAGCAGTTAGGTGTATTGCTGCTCGACCATTGGAGACTTAGGTGTTACCTGTTTGCGGTAGAACCAAGACTTAACACACTCTTTCTAAAAATGATTTTGCAAACAATCCCGAAGGATAAAAAGGTTTGATGTTTTGTTTTGTGTTTTTTATGAAGAAGTAAGTTGAGTTAAGTTTGTAACTCATGTTGCACTAAAGGCTATGACTTAAGAGCGAATGCGTCACATATCGCCCAAAGGGCATACGCTAAACATTCTAGACAGATTGAGAGGAGGCCTGTAACAGCCCAATTTTTCAATAATTAATTATTCGTATTAAATAATTGATTTATTTGGATGATTTTAATTATTGGAATTATTGGTAGATATTTGAGAGGAAATATGATGGAAGGAAATAGAATGGAAGGAATATAAGAAAAAGTAGAAAGAAAAGGAAAAGATCGAAACATTAGAGAAAAGAGGAGAGAAAGAAAGAGGAAGAGGAGAAAAGAGAAGGAGAAGAAGGAAAAGCTTGGAATCATCAAGAACAACTCCTAGCTTCCGATTTAATCAAGGTAAGGGTGTGAAATGTCATTATTCTATCAATGTCTATGATTATGTATGATTGGTTTGGATTGTTTGGATGTTTTCTCCTTTTTCCATTCTAGGGCATAAATGAGTTTAATCGGTAGAATCAAGGTTTTAACGGTTGGAATCGAGAATAAAGTGTGTAGTTTAGTCGAGGATTGTTAGACTAAGACTATAGGAACTGGTTTGGTGAGAATCAGTTGATTTTGTGAAGAGTTAAGGATTTGATGACAGTGAGGGTTTTTGAGTTCGCAGGCGTTCGCTAGGCGAACAGGTCGCGAACGTTCGCTAGCAACTCGCTAGGCGAGCAAGTTAGCGAGCGATCCCAGACTTAGGCAGAATGTATTTGATCTGGTTCGCTGGTAGCGAGTGAGGTAGCGAAGGATTCGCTAGGACCTCGCTGCAGCGAGTAGGAAGCGAACGAAGTCAGTAGCTTCTGTTTGCCTTCGCGAGCTCGTTTGCTAGGCGAACAGATAGCGAGTGTTCGCTAGGGACTCGCTAGGCGAGCAAGCCAGCGAGCATGGCAGCATTTCATTTTCTTTGTGATTCCATCCGATGTTGATTGTTGTTTCGATTATGTTCGATCCTTATCGGAATGAATAGTTGTGGGATATGTTGTGGGTAGCCGTAAGGTGTGAATCCTAGATTGTGGAATTGATTATGAAATGTGATCTTTTGACAATATATGCATTGTTTAAATTGATTAAAATTGCATGATGATTGTGATCGAGTTCATTGTCGTTGGCACGATGTTATTAGTAATGCATGAGAACATATTAGTGAATATGTGTGTGCATTGCTTGTAATTGTATGTGAATAATGCATGAGAACATATTAATGAATATGTGTGCATTGTTTGATAATATGGTG